TGTTGTATGTACTTAAAAGTTATCGAGAAAAGATTGGAATCTAATTCTCCTGATACTTCGTTGCTGCTTTCAGAGAGGTTTCAAATCAAATTCGTTTTCAAAGTGCGTGTCTGGAAACCCCAGATTTTACAAGAGCCATCAAGGGATTTCCCAAAACACCTGAACGTGAATCTGTCATAAACATTTGAGTTTATAAGAGGAAAAGAATTTAAAGAAATATAAAAACTGTCTCTGGTGCTCAAATGTGACAGGTAAGTAGAAATTGATTCCAGTTCAAATTTAAATGAATTAGGATTATCGCTTCCTTACTTTATTTCAGATGTATTATAATAATATGTAGGTATCAGAGAATTGTTTTTTAAATTTAAATTATTCTTATTCTAACAGTTCTTTTCAACTATCTACCCAATAAAATTTTATTTTATTTTATTCTTCTATATTTTCCATGCTCTTTTGTATATAGAAAATATTGATACCTTGTTCGTTGTTCTTAGCCACATTGTGCTATTGCATTAATTAATTTTAAAAAGTTGTAAATTCCATTCATTTGAAAACAATATTCCTTAATTCACTATATTATTAAACATTGCAAAATGTGTTGCATTATTTTAAGTATATTTTATATCCCAGTTGTGATGTCAGTTTCATCATTTTTAGCACGTTGTATTACACAAAATTTAATATAATATTATATATAGTGTGTATTTTACGGAACATAATCAGTCATGATAACAAATTCTTCTTTAATTCAAACGTACAAAAATGTAGTTTTGAGTGGGCGAACTACAAAACAAAGTGGCCGTAATCGTTGGTGCTAATGATAAAAAAATTTTGAACTAAAATTTGTCATTTTGGGAAACCCATGTTCCAAATTTGAGAGCAATTACTCCACGTTTACTTTTTCAATTTCATCCTGTGTAAATGCCCTTTCTGTGTAAGAAATGGGAACAATTTTATCAGAAGTTATTTTGACTTAAATTGTAGGTATATTAATGTTCCAAATTGTTAGTTTTAATTTTGAAACTCAGTGATTTATCAATACAAAAATTGTTTTCAAATTTGGTCTATGGACACACTTTTATTGTGAATAACATTTCTCAATACATTTTTTGATACATTATATGAAAATGACAATTTAACATTTAAATACATAGAAAATCGTCTTTGTTTACTTCAGACAAGGCCTACTTCATTTTTCAGAAAGAAAAACTTGTTGCAAATTAATGTTTGATCATACACGATTATCACCAAAATGCCAAAATTTAAACATAAATTTTTGTTGTTGTTGATACCCAGGATTAAAACTATCTGGGAACACCACGTACTGAAAAAGGATTAGTTATTTATGTGATGTTTGGCATTCTAAGAATAAAATCAACTACAAAATTTTAAATAACTTTTTTTTCTACTTTCACTGTATATGTTGAAACTATCATAACGTAATTATTTTTATAATATACTTTCCATAATTTTTAGTATAGTAGTCATGTGTTCCAGAATTAGTTTGAAAGTACAGAGCTATAACATAGGAAAGAAAAATATTTATGTACTTCTAAAAGTTCTGTTTTTTCTTATTCAATCATCTAACACTTATGACACAGTTATTTAAATTATTAATTGCTCAACTGACATGAAAATTGAATTAAAGACTAGACATAAATTGGTAATGTTCCTTGTTAAAAGCATGAAGGAAAGAAATAGAAAAATGCATTTGTCATTTTAATACATAGTCTTTACATACTGAAATCTATTTTTTATGAAAATTTGTGGTAATATACGCCTGAAGAAAATATATCGTGAAGTAGGGAAGAGGCAAACATTGTCTCAATCTTTTTCTTTACTAACCAAGACACAAAGACAATGGAAGCCATTAAAAATGTCTGCAGTTGACGAAGACAAAACGTCAAAGAAAATTGAAGGAAATATAGACATTTTAATAAAAAATATTCTTCACGTTCGAGAGAACTGTACTAATGTTTGACCTTATGATGATCCATTGGTCCATGTAAATGAATACCAGAAGTGGACAAATATTACGAATCCACCGAATTCATCTTGTTCTGACCGCAAGATGCATCTACCAGATAGAGCTATGGCAGAGCATATTTTGCCCGAATTCCGTGCAGTGCACTGTGGGCAAGGAAAGTTTCCGACTTATAAGGTTTTATAGGGTATAGAACAGAAATTATTAAAATCCTTTCTTACAAAAAAAAACAACAAACAGTTGAAAAACGAAACTTTTTATTATCCTCACTCTACTACAACTTTTATTTTCATTCATCGCTGGTGGAGTGGTTTCTGTTAAAGAAGTCCATTGAGCATATTGCGGTTAAATCGAATTTGTTCAAAAGCTATGGCTTATACACAAGAATACATCTGGTAAGATACATACTTACAATTTCTTCGACCTGTATTCTTCTTAAGTTTCAAAACCAACTTCACTTGTTATGTTCAGTTTAGTCTCAATGTGAGGTTTGTTCAGAAAATAACCGAACTTTTTTATTTACGCGAGATTCAATGTCAGAAACGGTTTTAACGATTTAAAAGTGGTCGTCAATCAATTGATGATGATCCTCTTCCACGTTCAGAAAGTCAAAGATCTAGTGCGTGCAAATTGCCGATTGACTGTCAGAAAATTTGCAGAGCATGTCATTTGAGTCATGCCGTGAAATTTTTACTGAAAAATTGAACATCAAGTTGCAGCAAAGTTTGTTCCTTGTTTGAGGACCGAAAAATAGAAAGAAAATATGGACGTTTGTCGGCAACTCTTCGAGCAATCCAATGACGATGAAACATTCATTCAAAGGATCATAACTGGAGACGGAAGCTGGGTTTACGGGTGTTGTGGCGATTCAACTCATGGTTCTTGCACCATGACAATGCGCACGCACACAGCTTTGTCAATTCGTCAGTTTTAAGTCAAAATTCAGATTACCGTCCGTCTTCCTTACTCGCCAGACCTGACTCCCTTATTTCCGAAATTAAAATCAGTGCTGAAAAGACGCCGTTTTCAGACTATTGATTCGTCACAGACTTTAAAGGCCATTTTAAATTAAGCTAGCCACGATTGCTTCGCAAAATGGAAACATCGCTGGTAAATGTCTGTGTGAAAAGGGGAGGGGAGTAGTTTGAAGGATATAAGGACCATTAATGTATAAAATTAATAATAAAATTTAAAAAAATAAAATTCAGTTATTTTCTGAACAGACCATTTAATATAGATAGTTAATGTATAAAACAAAATATTAATAAAAGAAAAACACAATTTGAATGTTTATAAACATTTACTTGTAAAAACATTAAAAAAGCAGAATACGCCACAACACGTTTATTCATCCTCGGGGCATTTTTTCTNTGTTTTTCGAACAACGTAATCATGACAAAAACAAGTTAGATGTGAAACAAAGAAGTCGTTATTGTAATGTCTGGCAGTCACGACAATATATATATTAACATGAAATAAATAATGAGCAATCGTTAATACTAATTATAACAATTTTACCTTAGAAAAATATATGCCCTTGAGCATAAAGCAATGGAACATACAAAGTATTATTATCATGAAACATCTATAACCATCACAATCATAAGATTACATAGGACAATTAACAACAAAGTACTTAAAGAATATTACCTGCTAACTAATAGCGGTTAAACACTTAATTTTCCACTACTTCTATATTTTTCACACTACACTTATTGTCTTGCTACCTATCTGCACACTGTTCTCACTTCAACTGCTTATCTTCAACTAACTAGGCTTCCTTCCAGAATTTCCTACCTAAGTGCTTGTTTTTGTGCTTCCTTCTAACTGTCAATATTACGTTTTCATTTTTATACAACACTCATGTAACAGGTGACGGCGAAGTTGATAAGATAAGTACGGTTTTGCACAGTCTCAATGTGAGGTTTGTTCAGAAAATAACCGAACTTTTTTATTTACGCGAGATTCAATGTCAGAAACGGTTTTAACGATTTAAATGTGGTCGTCAATCAACTGATGATGATCCTCTACCAGGAAGGTCTTCAGCTTCAACTGATGACTTCCACGTTCAGAAAGTCAAAGATCTAGTGCGTGCAAATTGCCGATTGACTGTCAGAGAATTTGCAGAGCATGTCATTTGAGTCATTCCGTGAAATTTTGACTGAAAAATTGAACATCGAGGTGCAGCAAAGTTTGTTCCTTGTTTGATGACCGAACAATAGAAAGAAAATGTGGACGTTTGTCGGCAACTCTTCGGGCAATCCAATGACGATGAAACATTCATTCAAAGATCATAACTGGAGACGGAAGCTGGGTTTACGGCTTTAATCATCACAATGGATTGGCAAAGGATCTCCTTCTCCAAGCCCCAAGACAACGCGTCAGTCGAGCTCGATCCATTGTCAAAATGATGATCACTGTTTTTTCAACTTTAACGAAATTGTGCATTTTGAATTCGTTCCTCACGATGAAACAGTGAACCGTATGTACTATTACAATGATTACGTGATAAACTCCGCAGAGACCAGTGTTGTGGCGATTCAACTCATGGTTCTTGCACCATGACAATGCGCACGCACACAGCTTTGTCAATTCGTCAGTTTTAAGTCAAAATTCAGATTACCGTCCGTCTTCCTTACTCGCCAGACCTGACTCCCTTATTTCCGAAATTAAAATCAGTGCTGAAAAGACGCCGTTTTCAGACTATTGATTCGTCACAGACTTTAAAGGCCATTTTAAATTAAGCTAGCCACGATTGCTTCGCAAAATGGAAACATCGCTGGTAAATGTCTGTGTGAAAAGGGGAGGGGAGTAGTTTGAAGGATATAAGGACCATTAATGTATAAAATTAATAATAAAATTTAAAAAAATAAAATTCAGTTATTTTCTGAACAGACCATTTAATATAGATAGTTAATGTATAAAACAAAATATTAATAAAAGAAAAACACAATTTGAATGTTTATAAACATTTACTTGTAAAAACATTAAAAAAGCAGAATACGCCACAACACATTTATTCATCCTCGGGGCATTTTTTCTTTCGGACCACCTTCAAACCCAGTTCTTCGTTTACGGGAGGATACCTCTCTACGTGAGGCATATTTATTAGTCTTCTTGGTAGAGCATCGGGATGTGGAACTTTATTCCGTTTTATTTTCAGTTCCACTGGGCAGCCGTGATCCATAACACAGTAATATTTGTGTTTGTAGTGATTTGCTGGATAGAATGCAGGAGACAGTTTACCGTCAACATTGCAAATTTTCACGTCAATGTATTCTTGGTTGAGAACTTTCGATGCGATCATGCGTTCTATCCTCTAAAATCGTATTGAAATTTTTGAAAAATTCGTGATATATTTTCGTTAATTAAAATACTTCATCCAGAAATCGATATACAGTATGTTCCCGAATGGGATACCGCACTTTTGTAACCTTTTTTTATTGTTGACTTTCTGATGAAAAGTTTTGCTCATCTTGGGAAGCCATGGGCAGTAATCAAATATGTATTAAAACGTACAGGACATCCAAAAAATGTATTTAAATTATTATTTATTTTTATTATTATTTAATTATTATTTATTTGTTACAATTTCTGTCTGCTTTAAGTAAGATTCTTATTTGCAAAATGTGATTATCGTTCTTTTCTGACTAAATCCCGTATTTAAGCATTTCTTGAGTTCTCGAACAATTTTGTTAAATACAGTGTTTAACAAAAACAAAAATTAAAGGCACTTTGCTTAGGGAAAATTTTCACAATTTCAATTTTTTGGACGCCCTGTATGTTTTATTACATATTTGATTACTGTCCGTCGCTTCCCGAGATAAGCAAAATATTTTATCAAGAATAACTTTTTCTCGAAAAATCAACAATAAAAAAGTTTACAAAAGTGTAAATGTACGGTATTTTTTTATTAGTAACACAAAATAAAATGGGATGAGACAAGAATCTCTAATCTACTCACATGATACTAATTTTCTATTTTCGACTACTAAAACCCTCTTAGAACTGAAAATTATCAACTATCCCTAATTTTGTTTCTTAAACTTACTAGCTGTATTTGTTTTACCACTTGGTTACTTCAGTTTGGTCAAATTGACCAAACTAGAAGTGACCGTGATTTGAACTAACTTTAGGTTGAGCAAAACACTCATCTACTCCATTTTAAATTTTGACTTTTGACGTCTGTTCAATTTCAGTTTAATTAGGTTGTTGTTGTCAATCATACTGTGCCCAACATACTTACAATCAACATATCTTCTTCGGATGAATCCATATCCATTATCAACGGCTTATTTTTATTTATTTTTTATTTATTTATTTATGATTATTATTATTTGTAGGTTATGCTTTGTTCGGTTATCTTGTTCACTTACTAACCACGATATTAGGCTACGTTAGATCGGAAAGGGGGGAACTGATTTTGGTCATATTTTGATTTGTTCACTTGTTTAAAAAAAAAACGAACTTGGTCAGAACTCTACTGAAAGTGAATTAACCAAAGTGATCAAGTGTGTAAAACAAATACAGCTAATATCATAAATTTATTCCAACATTTTCAATTAAATTTAACGGAATTAACGGAAAAAATATATGCTTCTATTTGATTAGATCTTTATTAAAATTACTGTGGAAAATTTCCGTCATGAAGGAAAAGTGTAATTGCGAGTTTCACACGCGAAAATTGGTGTAAAAAATAAAAAAAAATTATAAATGTTTACAAGCACGTGATCGCTGAGCAACCAACATTGCACGGTTGGTACTAATCACTAAAAATACCTAAATCTTAACCTTATCAACATTAATGATTCATTTATTTTATCTATTGTTTTTATCTTATTGTTTTACTAATTTTTAATTTTACCGAAATTTAATTGCCAACGCGATGGTCATGTGACTTGTAATCATCTATAAAGGCTCTGTACTAATAACAAGTGTAAGTAGGATAATACTTTTAGTTCATAGTAGGTTATGCGCTCAACAATGGAAGGGAAAGGAGGGTGAATTTATACAAAAAAAAGTATAACCGAAATCTAAACTGCCATATATCCTAGACCTCAGCGTAATCTAATTGATAGTTTGTTTCAAATATAAAGACATATGTCAGTCTACAGTCATGTATGTCAATTAAATCTGAATAAATAGTGGTCGTTCTATAATTTCGTAGCTATTTAAAAATAGAATACGGTCAGGCTAGTTTAGCTGCAATCAAATCTCAAAAGTATCTTCTTCTATCATCTGAAAAATTTTTGTTACAGTTTAATTCTGCATATAAAATTTCATTGTTTAGGGAAAAGTATTTTTCAATTCGGAGATGATATTGATAATTTATCATTGTATTAAAATTATTGCCTATTTTCCATGCCATTCCAGTGTTAATTTTATTACGGCGTGTGTCCTTATTATTGCATACTAAGTTGTACCTACCTTGCAACAGGTCTTTCCTATGGTATTACCCCATATGTAGAGCAATCTTATTTGGCAAAACTTTTTTATACTCTCTAGAAGACTTGTCATTCCTTCGTCTCCAATTTTGTTATTACTGATATCAAGGTATCTTATTTTTGAAAATGGTAAACAAAAACCAAGTGCTCTAGAAATAATAATATCAAATTTAAATTCATGTTTAACTAATTTTGCGTATTTTTATAGGAATCTTTGGAAAATATAGGTACATATACCTAATAATAATCTGCATAAATCATTTTCATACATGATCCACAATTAGTGGAGTTATCTAGTAGGCAGCAAATAGTTTTTGAAAGCAAAGTTGATATGGACATATAAATTCCAAAATTTAAAAAGAAAAAAAAAATTTTAATTTATCATGTATAATATAAATATGTAGTTTGAAATGCATATCTATAACCTCTAAAATTATGAGTTGAACCATCTTCAGTGATATACCAAAAGTAATTATTCATCCTTTGTTTTAAGCTGCTTACTTTTCACTGTTGTTTTTAGTAACAAACACATGAAATAACCTTTTAGCTTTTAGCATTTGTTTCAAAACCTGCAAATATATATTTTTTTAACAATCGCTACATTTATTTTTTCTTAATTCAGCGACTCCTTGATTTTGAAAATGCGATTGGGCATTGACAGACCGAATGCCTACATTCATTATACGAAACATCTGCAAAAGCAAATGTTTTCAATCTTGGTGGGAGGATCTAGGATACAGCGACGTTCATCAAAGAAAAACATTTATCGTTTATGAAACATCAAATACCGAAATTTCTTCTGATTGTAACCATACTTTCAATCAAATACTTTGTAGGTGCGCTTTTAAATGCTTACAGTATCATTGAAAAAATATATATTTTTTTATTTTTATGTAATTTGGTTGCAATTTGCAACTGAGTAAATGGTTAATCCCATAGGGAATTAACAACTGTTTTGCAAGATAATTTAATAATTATTTTCTTTAGATCACATAAGCAAATACTAAAAAAGTAAAGTCTATGAGTTAGATTGTTAAATTTTGTAAATAATGCTAATAATAATGTAAGAAAAAAATCGAATGGCCTCGAGTAACGACAGAATTATCAGCCATTAAAACAAAATAATATCACCAAGCACGTGTCTCATCATAAATTATTTGACAGATGCGAAAAGTGGAGATGCCACTTCTGAACACCGGACGTACAAGGGTCTTCCTAAAGTTTTACCTCTTTTCACTAATAGTAGCTCAAATAAAAATACAGGACGTTCGTAAAACAGGGCACCTTTTAGGAATACCCTTGAACACATCAATATTTCTTATTAATTAGACATTTTTAAACGATCTTTTTGTATATACAGATTGACCCGTGTAGGAATTACTACAGTATTGACGATTTTTTGAATATAAAGTGGTCCTTTTTATATTATCTTTTTAAGTTTTTATAGAGAGGTTTTCAAAGAATCAATGTATTAAATTCTACCTTCAGAATATTTTTAATTTTTCTCGTTAAAAAATTAAGAAATCTGCTTTCTCCATAGGTGAGACTCGGCGAAGGAGATACATTGTTTCATCATCACGTAAAAAATGTGGTGTTTGTGTACTTAAAATTAGTTAGAAACATAAAGTATGTCCTATCACAATGTTAAGCCTTTTGCAGAAAAATGTTTTCGAAAAATTAGCATTTAAAAAAAATTTGTAGTATGCCAACTCACCTATACACCTATACAAGTACGACTTAGACGACCTATAGATTGTTGTGCTTTTAATTTTCTCTGTGTTCGAATATAAAAGTAGATTTTGAAAAAAATTTTTTTATAGATAACTGTTAGCTTTTTAGATATCTCAATTAAATTTGGTGCAGGAACAGTTTTGGGGTCACCAGTTAAACTCGATGCCATTATTTAAGACGTCAAGTTGAATTTTTCTTCGAGTTGTAGAAGATACAAGAAACTTTTCTATCGTAGGAAATTATTTGAAGCAGTTTAACTTCGCCATTTATTAATTTAACTCGAATTGTGGTTCTAAAATTTCGAAGAATTAAATTAATAGTCCTTGAGATTATAAATAAGCTCATGGAGAAGCTCCATTGCTTTGCCTAGAATCTCTGGTCCTAGGTTTGAATTTTTTTATTTGAATGTCAAAATATTTGAAATATATAAAGTGTTTTAATTACTGGAATTCCAACAAAATGCAGTTTGGCAATTGCATCTTCAACAAAACGATAATAATTGATTTCCATATATCATATACAAAAACTAAAATATATTGTATTGTAGTGAAAATCACGCTAGTATACATACTTTACACATTTGTTTATTTATTTATTTCATGATTCTCTTAGAATATGCTCTTGCAACACTGGAATCGAAGGTATCTTATCACAAACCCAGAATGGGGCATTATCGAAGCCAAAGAGGAAATGTGAGACAATATCTTGAGAACAGATCATAAGTCCTTGAAATTGTTATTCCTGTTTAAGAACTCAAAAGCTGGTTGGTTACAAACTTTACAAGAGTATAACTTCACTATTGGACATAGAAACGCAGATGCAGTATCCAAAAGGCCGTGTTCCAAAATATGTTCACATTGCAATCAAGCAGAGACAAAAGAATTTCGAAACTTGTCCTGATTAATAGCAATTGTGGCGGATAGGCAATGGAAAACTAGAAATAATGACAATACATAATCGATTATTAATTGGGTATTAGTTGGACATTCGTCGGACATTAGGTATAGAGTCAACGAAGTGTTGAGAAAAGTCCACAGTGGAGTAAACGGAGGACACTTCGACATAAACAAGAATAAAGTTAAAGAAAGATTATAATGGCTAAGAAACCGAACAGATATAGAAGATTGATATCGCCGATATGTTGAGTGTTCCAGCAGCAAGGGACTTAGAATTAGAATCCGAGGCCAGATGAAACACAACATTGGAGGTCCTTTCAAAAGGTAGCAGAAGTTCTCGTTGAAAACCTCTTCTGCAGATTAAGCATTCCAAGAGAATTACATTCGGATCAAGAACGAAATTTTGAATCGGATGTGTTTCAAAGAGTTTGCCAGTTTATGCATATCAAAAAGATCAAAACACCTCTACATCTACAATCTGTTGACGTGGTGCCAAGATTTAATAGGGCCCGTAGAATCACCCGCGAATAGTCGTCAACGAACATCAAACCAACTGGGACCGACATGTGCCTCTTTCGTTATTGGCCTATCGATCAATAGTCCATGAGGCTACAGGAAGAACGCCAGTTAGTTTCGGAAGAGAATTAAAACTATGACATCGTTTTTGGCTACCCAGAACATTGAGCAAGAAACATAGTAAGACTACCCATTCCAAGTTAGCCAAAATAATCGATGCCATCCATGAAAGAATCCAGAAAATGAAGTTTGAAAGCGATCGGTTGAAAATACGGTATTGTGTCAGAGCCAATTCCAGTGAGTTCTACGCAAGATATCTAGTATTGCTGTTCAACCTAGTTAAGAAGAAAGGCAAATCTAAACTCTTGGTAAGGTCCATATACGGTTATCAAGTGGATCAACATGGTCTACAAAATCCAGAGAGGGCCTGGTAAAAATTAAAGTCGTTCACCTGGATTGTTTGGTCCAATATCGAGCATCCATCTAAGAGGAAAGTTGTCAAATGTGTAAACTGTTGTGTATTAGTTGTGCTAAATAAAGGAACCGTAGTACAAAATTAAATCTTTAAAAATTCGACCTATTTATTGGAATTAAATTGGAAAATGTCACTTTATGAGACAGAGCTTTACATAAAAGATTAATATTACCTATTACAATTACCTAGCGCCAAAGTTTTTAATGGTGTTTGCAGACACATTTAGAGCGCGAAGTGGCGGCCTTATTCGTAACCATTTTGCAATGAACTGTACACCAAGATCACTGACACGATTACATCCCAAATCGAGCATTTCCAATTTCTTATTGTTTCTTAATCGGTGTAGCAGTATTTCTACGTCGTGACCATCAAACTCACATTTCTGCACATGCAGCTCCACCAGTGTTTCATTAGCCTAAGGGCAATAACTATTATTAATTCTGCATAAAAAAATATGCCGAAATAGAAACTTAAGTGCTGAAACGATTTCGGAAGGTAGGTAAATTATTTCATGGTTGTATTATCTTTTTTGTATGGAGAAAATAAACAATGGGACGATTATTAATTTCATTAAGCCACATTTTGCCAAAGTCAATTCTCTCCACAACTAAATCTTCGTTTTTTTTTCAGTTCTATCCAACAAATTCTTACGAATTTCTGGGCCATTGCCTTGTCGTCAGTTTAGACTTCTTAATATATTAAGAGACATTTCGATCTTTCCTTCAGAAAAACACTAAAAGAAGTTATTTTTACCTCTAATACTGCTCCTAAATCGTCTGCCAATGTGGCCACGTTATATCTAGTATAGTAGGAATTGGGTATAATCCTCGACATATCCAATACCTCCAAAGTACTTCGTTCAATAACAATGAGGATGGATTCAATGCTCTCTAAACTCTGATCAGTGTCAGCAATATCAACATGAACTAGCTTAGGGCAATTTATGATTAAACTTGCTATAAAACGAGCTCCCTAAAAATCAGAATTAAATCTGTGTTGCATTGAAAAGTATTTACAGTTTTCTCAGTTCAAATAATTTATTGAAATATTCAAAACAGATCCTGCATCATGGGATAAAAATAAATAGTTTTCTAAGAAGTGACTTTATACATAATTTCTCTTGTCTACTACTTGTCTCATACGCAAAAAGTGAGAACATATCAAGAATATTTAAACAGAATGATTTTCATTGTTTTAAATAATTTCCGAGTTAGCTGTTGAAGAAGAGCTTAGAATTCACTAAAAAAAATGGGAGCTATGAACCCTTAGTCCCTCATAAGAAATTTAATCAAAACAAAAATCTATGCTTCATCTATCTGAAAAACAGGAAGTTTCTGAAATAAGTGCGTTTCATCAAAAGGATAAGAAAGGATATAAAAATAAATGTTCATTCATTGTTGTTAATAAACTGTCAAATCAAAGACATAGCAATTTTGAAATCAATTCTGTTATACAGTGTCTTTGGGAAGATAGTCTCCCAAAGGCTGTACGCGTTACAAGGCGAAGAGAGAGACAGCTGCTATGAAGATACGTGCTATCTCTCTCTCGCCGAATGTGATTGTTTCTGTCACGTAGTCATAGAGGGAATCAGTCGTGAGCCAATCGCGTTCTATTATCTATGATCGCGTTCGGCGACAGATAGCATGTACCTTTATAGCAGCTATCTTTCTCTTTATCTTGTAATACATCCTGCCATTGGGAGGTTAACTCCAGTAGTATTATGCTCGAAGAAGAGTACACGTATAGCAGTTTAAAGACGTGTTGAAACATCGCTAGGATTGAATAAATTAAAAAATAATAGAAAAAACTACTTTCCATAAATTGATATTAGGTAATTCTACAAAAATTAAAAAATACGCTCTGTTTGTACATCCCAAATGAAAAAATCTAGTTATATTTAAGTTTTGAAATAAAACAACGTAAATCGGTTTACAGTCAACGCAAGACTTAAATCACCCACGCACACTGAACTTAACCTAACTTCTGCATTATAAACAATAGATCAGTTACACGGCGCAGATTCGGCTTAAGTTTTGTGTAATAATTCTTGCATAATTTCCTGGAACACACAACACGGCTACTTAATGTAAATTTTTTGTTTTCATAATATCCTCTATTATCCTTTTGAAAGCACGTTACGTTATTCTGCTACATGGTGTGTGGATATTTGCTCTCGTGTTTACTGTACTTACTTTATTAACTTAAAATGGTTGAAAATTGGATTCAATTATTAGAAAAATGGATGTAGTGTACATAGTATAGTAGGTACTTGTTAATAAATTTTTACCATAGCACCTAATTTATTTCCATTGACTCTACAACTTCTCAAATTCAGTAACCAACCCGAGGAAATTGCTTGCATGCCCTCAGCGTGAATATCGCAGTGCATCAAATTCAAATATTGTAAATTATTGGGTTTATTGAGATAGTGATCTGCTAGAATTTTGACACCCTTATCTCCTATATCGTTATAACATATATCCACATTAACAATTTCATCATGATTACTCAAAAAATCGGCAATCTTATACATGTCATAATATTTCAGTCGAGTCCTAAAATAGAAAAATCATTTGATGTAAGTATGAAACAAAGTTAATATAAGATCCAACTGTCTAAATTTACATTCCTTACATTATCTGTTGTAAGTATACAATTTAAAGAAACAATAATTTATAATTTCATTTGATATCTTACCTCTTGTAATAAATTTGGATTTAACTATGTACATACAATTTAGGAACACTAATGTTGAATGTGACTTTAAGAAACAATATTCCTTTGTATCTATTAAATCGGTATAAAATAATCAGAGGCAGCATTTTTAGACTTACCCAATTCGCTGAAAAAGATCATTTCCTTTCAGTCTCAAATGTTTAGTGCCATCAGAATTTTTTTCACAAAATAAATGTAAAAATGTATCATGGATTTTTTCACCCATCTTGAAAATTATTTCTGTCTAAATGACAAATTCATAATCCTATCGCATGCATTTCCTTTTACATATACCCACTAGTCTTATAGACTGACTTTAAGTGTGTCATTTTAAGGTTTTTCAAACACCTGTTTTTAAACAAATATAATAGGCTGGTGCCAAAGCGGATTTTGAAGGCTAAAAAAACAGGCAAGGACCAATGGGAAAATTTAGTTTGGGTTATAAGTTATAGAAAAAACAAAAATTAAACTCGAGATAAAGGGAAATTGTGAAATAGGGGCGGTGTTTAGGGATTGAAAATGAATTTTTGCGATTTTTGGCGAAATATGATCTCCTAGGGCAGTGTTCCACACAAAAGTTGTAGATAATAAAAAATGAAAAACTTTTATTATCTTTCAACATAATCTCAAATTTTAAGAGAAATTCGCGGAAAACCGATTTTTTCGTTTTTATCTTTTTTTTCAAAAATAATGCAGTTTAATGAAACTTTGTGAAATTGTACCTTTTTTACACTAAATAAGTATGATTTCTTTCGAAACTGGAAAACAAGTAGTTTTCGAGATATTAACAGTTTTCCAAAAAAAAATATATAATTTTCCATGAAAACTTTTCTAGTTTTTTTTTTTCGAATTTAGTACTTTGCCCGGGCTCATTTTAACTGTTGAAATGTTTACATTAAAATGTTTATGGTTTATTTTTCATTTAACCACTTAAAATTGAGAAAAACCAAAAAACAACTTCAGATCACGAATTTTTCAATATTCTCTATTATTTTCAATTTTTTCGTTATTTATGTGAATAATAGAATAAATTTCAATAAAATAATTTACTACAAAGTAATATTAATAATGTTTAATAACCAAATAGTTTTACAATAACTAAGTACTCTTTTAGGCATATTTGAATAAAATAATTTTAATACATAATGAGTAATTAATTTATAACTATTCATTGATTTTTTATTTACAAATTGCGACGCTTCGCTTTACAAAAATAAAAAGTACTACAAAATTGGTGAAAAATTATAAAATTGCAGTAGATTGTAGACCTTTTTCACTACGATTATCTTCATCAAAACAACTTTCACTTTCTGAAGGATCTTCGAGATCATCGTCGACTTCGAGCCCTTCTTTTTCAATACTACAAGTTTCTGGCTCTTCAACAATAATTTCTTCCGTAGCACTTCCGTCTTCAAATATTTCTTTATTTCCACATCTTTGTTTATAACAACCACTTTCACAGCTACAGCTATTACTTTTTAATAATTTTTCTGGAATAAAGTCTAAATTGTCTGATATAAATTTAGGCGCAAGTCTACCTATATGTTCAATCCAGCCCCATTGTTTAGCTTTGTTATTATCAGACTCGTTTTGTAAAAACCAAGCTAAGTTTGCAGTTAATAATAAGCTCTATACAGGGTGTTAAAAAATGAGTGTAAAATATTTAAGGAGGTAATAGTATGAACCAAAATAAGCAGAAGTCTCAATAAACATGGGTCCGCAAAGTAACGGTTGAGGAGATATGGAATGTTTTATGTTTTTAGCCCCTTTTTTATTTTGCAAAAACGTTGTGTATTTTCTTATAATAGTTGGTTGATGTTTAGTGAAATAAACAGTACGTATTTGACAGTTGTTCTCACAAGTTTTCTTTCGCTATGGCTGGTTACTCTAACGCAGAATTAACAGACATGCATTTCATGATGGTCGTGCTAATGGGAACGCCACCGAAGCGCGACGTCTTTATGTTGACGCTTATCCAAATCGCCAGATTCCTTCACAACGCATGTTTGGAAGAATTCACCAAAGATTACGTGATACCGGTTCCTTGAGCAAACAGTGCCATTTATCCGGAAGACCAAGGTCGGTATCCACTCCTAAAGCAGAAGAAGAAATTCTAGCACTGGTAGAGCAGAATCCAGGTACGAGTGTATGGAGAATATCAGCTGAGGTAGGAATTATAGTGGTCCTTTTGTTTGGAGAATCCTTCACGAGCAACTGCTTTATCCATACCATGTGCAACGAGTACAGGCCTTAAATCCAATAAATGATCATCAAGCACGTTTGGTTTTTTGCCGCTGGTTTCTACGTCATGATGCTGAAGACCCTCGTTTTCCTGCAAACATTTTTTTTACTGATGAGGCCAGGTTCACAAGAAATGGAGTGTTTAATTTTCACAATACGCATATTTGGTCCGACGAAAATCCTCATGCTCTAATAGAATAATCTGGACATCAGGCACGTTTTTCATTAAACATTTGGATGGGTATTGCAGACGTGACAGGTTTCTAGGTCCTGTTGTTTTACCAAACCGATTAACAGGCGCTGCTTACCTCAACTTTCTGCAGAACACACTGTATGAGTTTTTGGAAGGCATTCCTTTGAATCAGAGGCTACAAATGTGGTTCCAGCATGATGGTGCTCCAGCTCATTTTTCCATGGCCGTTAGAGAGCATTTACACCAAACTTTTCCACATAGATGGGTAGGAAGGGCCGGACCTGTTTTATGGCTTCCAAGATCGCCTGATCTGAACCCTCTAGATTTCTTTGTTTGGGGATATTTGAAGACATTAGTGTATGGTACTCCTGTAAATAGCCTGGAAGAGCTGCAGCTACGGATTAATCAAAAGTGACAAGAAATCCAAACCAAGGAAGGTGTTTTCGAAAGAGTTCGAATATCGTTGAGACGAAGATGTCGTGCCTGCTTGGAAATGGAAGGAGGGCACTTTGAACATCTTCTGTAACTTTGTTTTTTGTTTGTTAAAAGCTTCCTTTGTCGGTTTATTCCTAATAAAATAAAATGTTTGAAAAACGAATAGTGGTCCATATCTCCGCAACCGTTACTTTGCAGACCCATGTTTATTAAGACTTCTGCTTATTCATACTATTACCTCCTGAAATATTTTACACTCTTTTTTTAACACCCTGTATATGAGCGTTGTGCGGCTGTTCCTTCAGTTGATGGAAGTTTTTCTAAATTAAAACTTGATTTGTTAATTGCCTTTTAATAAAATTCAAATAATACCCAATTTATTCAACGATATATCAATTTTTCTTACTTTTACGGTTTGAAAAACATCCGGTATAAAAGTTTTTCATTTTTTATTATCTACAACTTTTGTGTAGAACACTACGCTAGGAGGTCATATTTCGCAAAAAATCGCAAAAATTAATTTTCAACCCCATTTCACAAATATCCCTTTATCTCAAGTTTAATTTTTGTTTATTTTATTAACTTATTACCAAAACTAAATTTTTCCACTGTTCCACTTTTTTTTCAATAAGGCATTGGCAATAGCCTATATCTACAATAATAAAGTAAAAAACTATAGTATAATAACTCGTAAAATATTTATATTATAAAACATTGGGTAGGTATACAAGTTTAATGATTGTCATCATAGCTGTCCTTAAGAATGTTTACGATTGATCACAGAAGCGGGTAATGAATTTCATTTGAAGTACACACTGATAAGAATTGTCTTATTGTAGTATTGACATGTACCCATTTTATTTTAACTTTCTTTGAATGTCCACTTAACCGTTAATCAGAATTTAGGATTAACATGTTGGACATATCGCAGTCATATATAGGGTGTCCCAGAATAACGTGTATAACGGAAGACCACAGATTCGTGGACTCATAATAGGTAGATTTAGGTTAATTCACCTATATCTGAAATCGCTTCATTTATCTGCTAGAAGGCCTTAAAGTTCGTGAAATTTTTTTGAATTTTGTAAATAACTTGAATATGTATTAACTGATTTTAATTATTTTTGGGGTGTGGACTTTTGCTTTCAATCTACAAATTTTGGTGTCATACAGAGTGTTTCTTAAAACTCACAACTCCTACAAAATTGATGTATGGTGATAATAACCGTTCATAACTTTTTCCTTTTTCGGACAATAACGACAACTATTTTTTATTTGATAGGTGATACCATTTGGAAGTTTTTGGGCCTCTTATAGAATTTTGATAAAGTGAGCGGTGTGGGTACAAAAAAATATTTTTTAAATATCTACATTCTTGCCACCCACATTACAATACTTGATAAAATGCTAGTAGTCACTGATTTTTGTAGGTTGACTGTAATTTCAGTGTGATTTTTAAGTCATTGTACCTGCCAATTCTTAATGAACCTTTACTACGATAAGATATATACCAGAGGTTACTTAATTCTTCGATATGGATACACACATAAGATGAATTAAGTTATTTACGTGCTTAATTTTATTAAAATAATTCGTAAAAACAGTCAAATAGAATAAAAATGTTGGAGATAAAAGAAACAAAGTTGATGTTATTAAATTTAGTACAACTTATTATAAAAACTGTTCAAAATGATCACCATTGTTTCTACAACAAAGGTTAATTGGGCGAAGAAAGTTAAAGGACACCCTTTACAGTTCTTAAGGGCTATTTTTTAGAACATTTATGGTATTTTGGATATGTCTCCACAACTCTTATTCAGTGTTAGATGTGGAAGCATGTACTGGTTGTTTTAGCGTGCCCCAAAGATTGCAAGGTGTTAAATCTGGTGAATGTACAGGCCAGTTGATAATAGAAGATCTCCACAAATTCAAAACTAGGTAACATTCACTGGATGTTTAGAGTCGAGTGACATGGATCAATTGTTGGCACAGTTTGTAATTACAAAACACCCAGGTGACAAAACCATCCCTGGTAGCACAATCATCTGCAACTCTAATACAAGTTGTTTCAAGTTTACTTGAAACAGACAAATTGTGTCAGATTGTTTTGTGTCTATTGCTGAAATTTATATCGTTTCTTATGCAAGATACTTTTACAAGTATCTAACTTAATACTTGCACCAGACTTAACCAAAAGTACTTGAGTCCAACGGGGTGAATTAGTATAAGTCAACGTGTTGCAGACATAGTCACTTGCTATAATTTACCCCTTTGTGCTCAAGTGCCCTGAATCAAATCTATTGAAAGCTTTGATCAAGACAATTGCACAATGAATCTTGCAGTAAACCTGATGCAGA